ATTTTCTCTTAAAACAGGACAATGTTACAAGAGTAAGAGATTCTTACTTGTATATAGGCTTACCTGCTGAAAACAGGTCCCTGCTGTACAGATTTTCTGTAGCCAATTAGGTCTTTTAGTCTATCCAAAAAATGTAAGTATTTTTTTGAATGCCAGGTATAGGCTTTTTGGTTAAGACCTTGCTTTTTAAATTGCCTTAAGTATAAATAGTAATTCTTTAGTTCGTCATTTGGGCCGCCATAGAGGAAAAAGAAATCAGATTGGTTTCCTCAGCTTGCCTTCATGCTGTGGTATTTTCAGGCCACTGTTTGCTTTGTCTCAATAAAAGATTCCTAATGTCACATAAAAAAAAAAAACAAAAACTGTGTATGCTGTCCACAGGAAACCTCAAATATAACAATATAGGTAGTTAGTAAAAGGATAGAAAAAGATATGTCTTGTAAATATTCAAATATTAGTTAAAAGAAGTAGAAGTGGCTATATTAATATCAAATAAAGTAGACTTCAGAGCAAAGAAAAATGCCAGAGGTAGAAGATTATATAATTATAAAAAATGTCAGTCCATCATGAAGACAAGAATACTAAATGTGTATGAACCAAACAGAACTGCAAAATATGTGAAGCAAAAACTGATAGAACTAAGAGGAGAGATAGATGAATCCATAATTATTGTTGGAGATTTGACACCCTTGTTTCAACAATTGATAGAAAAATTAGAAAATCAGGAAGGATCTAGAACTCAACAACACCATTAACCAGAAGAATCTAATTGATATTTATAGAACACTCAACCCAACAAGAGTGCCTAAACATATTTTTTTCAAGTGGCTACTGAATATATACCAAAACAGGCAATATCCTGGGCCATAAAATAAACCTGTACAGATTTATAAAAATTGAGATTATACAGGATGAGTTCTCTAACCACAACAGAATCAAACTAGAAATCAGTATCAGAAAGATAGTAGAGAAATCCTCAAATTGGAAATGAAATGACACACCTCAAATAATTCATGAGTCAGAGGAAATTTCAATGAAAACATATTAATCAAAAATAATTTTAAAAAATTCATTAGCCTGAATGAAAATGTGACATGTTAAAATATTCAGGATACAGCTGAAGCAGTGCTGAGAGAAAATGTATGGCATTAAATGCATTCATTAGAAAAGAGGAGAAAAATATCAAATTAGTACTCTAAGCTCCCACCTTAAGAACCTAGAAAAAGAGGATCAAAATAAACACAAAGTAAGGAGAGGGAAGGAAATAAGAAAGATAAGAGTAGAAACAATGAAATTGAAAACAGAAAAACAATAGAGAAAATCAGTGAAGCAAAGAGCTATCCTTTGAAAGGATTAATAAAATTGACAAACCTCTAGCAAGACTGCCAAAAAAGAGGGAAGACACAGATTACCTATATCAGGAATGAAACAATATCACTACAGATCTTGCAGACATCAAAAGGGTAATAAGGAAATCTGATGATCAACTCCACCCAAACAAATTTGTCAAACATAGATGAAAGGGATCAAAAGGCAGATACTACTGTAACTCACCCCATATGAAATAAATCATGTGACTAGCCATATAACTATTAAGAAAACTGAATTCATATTGAAAAACTGACCAAAGAATGGTGTCACTGGAGAATTCTATGAAGTGTTTAAAGAGGAATGAAAACCAGTTCTATTCAGTGTCTTTCAGAAAATAGAAGAGGAGAGGGATGTTACCAGGTGGGGAAACTGGACAAAGTGTACACAGAAACTCTTTAAATTATTTTTTACAATTGCATATGAACCTACCATCATCGAAAAATAAAGTTTAATTAAAAAGGGGGGGGCGCCTAGGTGGTGCAGTCAGTTAAGCATCCAACTCTCGGTTTCAACTGAGGTCATGATCTCAGGATCATGAGATCGAGCCCACGTCGGCCTCCTCGCTCAGCTGGAGTCTGCTTGAGCTTTTTCTCTCCCTCTCCCTCTGCCCCTCCTGCTTGTGCTCTCTCTTTCTCTCTCTCTCTCTCTCAAATAAATAAAAAATAAACAGAAAAAAGTTATTTTCTATAGAAGAACAAAGGTAAGAACAAGTTATTTTCTATAGAAGAACAAAGGTAAGAACGACAATCCTTACAAAGGTAAGAACGAGCTTTTTCTCTCCCTCTCCCTCTGCCCCTCCTGCTTGTGCTCTCTCTTTCTCTCTCTCTCTCTCTCTCAAATAAATCAAAAATAAACAGAAAAAAGTTATTTTCTATAGAAGAACAAAGGTAAGAACGACAAGTCTGTTTTAGACTTCCTTTTGGAAATACAAGCCCAAAGACAGTAGAGAAATATCTTTAAAATATCAAAAGCAACAACGACAACAAGTTGGGCTGTTTGATTCCAGAGCCTGTACCCTTAACCATTTCTATATGCTGCATCCTAAAGATAATAAAAACAGAGATGGATGGAGCAATTACATATACCACTTTGTCCTTTTGTGTGCCTGGGGAGTCAGAATGGTACGCCCATCCTTTGAAAAGAAGATAAACAGCAGCTATTCCTAGTCCTGGATTTGTTTCTTGTTTCTGTTGTTTCCTTTACTTCACAATCTTTTAAAAGTAAAATTGGCTAATAAATCATGTTTCCTGTCAAGTAAGCTTATATTCAAGAAGAGAATAAAGTAAATGTAGAGGTAACTATAATACAGGCAAATTTGGCTAAATGTCATAAAGTAGAAATTCAGACAAAGCCTTTGGGAAATTTAGAGCAAGGATTGAGAGTACAACAAATTACGGGTATCAAGGAAGATTGCGTGTGAATCTGATTGAGAGTGGAGGAAGAGGGAAGAGCTGAGGATGTCAGAGATCTGTGTCCTGATGACTGGGACGAGAGCAGTGTCATAGTAGTGTTTAAATAGAAGTTCTTGGATAGCACAAGTTTTGTGATTATTTGCTTGTCGGCCAAGTTCTGTAATGTATCCTTACTACCTAGAACCGTGCTGGGTACATAATAAGTACTCAGTATTTGTTACATGAATGAGTAAGCAAATAGAGAAATTAGAAGGTGGCAAAATCACCAGATTTTGTAAGAATGATTTGATGGTGAGCTCTAGTTGGGGAGTTATAAATGTGGAATCTAATCCTCACTATGCCATTAGCCAGCTCTGACCATAGTTTCAGCTACCACTCCAGCTGTCACACAGATGGCTCTCAAAACTACTGGAGAGAGCAGTAATATAGGAAACATGCTGATGAAGAACATTAGCTGTCTGACCCCATATGTAAAATGAAGAGGACAAGAGAAATGATTGTTAGTAAATGCAATTTTATGTCTAGTGCACTTAGCTCAGCATTTGGTCCATTGTACTCAAAACAGGGCACCATTGTCTGAACTTGAGTTACACATGGGCTTCTGACCTAGATGAGCCACCACACCTCTAATATAGCACATTAAACTGTGTTTGAGTTACCTCATGCAAAAAGCTAAATGGTATTTTAAAGATACCCAGCCTAAGACCTTCATTTTGACTTGTGCCAAAGTGAAAAAGTAACTTGCACAAAGTCACACAGCTAGCTGAAGGAAACAGAATATGGAGGGGGAAAGGTATTCAGGGACCAAACCTAGGGGCTAATGTTTACATGTAAAGAGTGGGAGGAAAAATAGGAGACAGACACTAATTAGTTGGGCTTGACACTGACTTTTACAGCTGCCTCCTATAATGAATTTTATTTTCTGGAAAAAAATGATATTTGCCTGCTAGATAGCTCTACCTTTCCCATTGACATCTTTATTTCAACATGTCTAAAACCAAACTGGAACCACTACATGTTAAAACTGAAAAAGAGTTATGAGGGTTTCCAGTCTAAACTCTCATTTTACAGAAGAGGAAAACAGATTCTGTACTGGGGTGGAGGTCTCACCCTTAGATTCATTTATAGCAATGTAAGCCATCATTCATCTCTTGGGTCACTTTTGCCTAGGTTGCAGAGCATTACTTAAAGTCCATTTGGCTTAGAGTGATCCTTCTAAGCTCATCCTGGCTGGTTTTTGAGAGCAGTGGGTTTTTGTTTTCTTGTTGTTTCATTTTTCTCTTTTTTATTTTTTTTCTTCAAACAGCTGAATAAGTTGAATTATATGAAGAAACCCCGTATGTAAAAAGAGACTAACAAGAGGAGGTGCTCTGGTTAGCTAAGATATGGTGGTGGTTGGGGAGATCAGGAAAGGGAAAGGAAGAGTTTTACCCTGATAACTTGGCCCTCTCATTCCTAGGGGTGAGGGTCCTCCGGAATGCCCCTGAGGTTAGGAAGCAGTTTGAAACTCACTGATTTGGAGGCATGTGGGATCCGGGAGTGGTGGTTGGCACACATGAGAAGGTTGCTGGTGTTTCTCCTCATCAAGTTCCCCCGTGACTTCCACGTACCCTGGACTAATGATTTTTAGTTCTTTTTGAATCTAAGAAGTAAGAATGAGGCCATCAGTGCAAGTAGGGTCTTAATAAACTCCCAGCTATCATTTAAAAACTCTCATCAGTCACATTTGTAGTTATTTACACAGACAAGCAGCTTTTTGTGAATTAAGTGACTTGGAATAGATAATTTTATTAGTATAGACATAGCTCAAGAATTATTGGCACATGAGGAAAAGCTTAGCAGCAATCAGCATATTGATCTTGCATAAACCCCTATAATGTTCTGATGAATTGTAAAATACTTGACACATTTTTAATTGTTTTTCTAGTATTATTTATAATTTTGAATTTTAGTCAGCAACTGATGAAGCCCTGTTTTAGACACCATGGGGAGATAGAAGGAAAATAGGCCAAGGTCCTTGCCCTCACATTTGAGTCATGCTGAGTGCAGAATGAAGAACGTGACATTTTAGGATTTTTTCCTTTGTACTTGATTTCACCACCTGAGCTTTCTTTTTTATATTGTGTAATTTTTAATTTGCTGACTTGTACAAAAGCATATTCATGACTGAAAATTCAATAATTTAAGGTTCTGTGCTTTCTTTCAAATTATTATTAGATTGCAAGCCTGGAGAAAGATAAAGAAGAACTACATAATCAACTGCTTAAGGTTGATCCCCCAAGAGAAAGCAAACGAATGGAGCTACTTGTTCGAGAGAAAGTCCATTTGAGTCAGAAATTAAAAGGTTTAGAGGCTGAAGTAGCAGAATTAAGGGCTGAAAAAGAGAATTCTGGTGCTCAGGTAGAAAATGCGCAAAGAATTCAGGTGCGGCAGTTGGCTGAGATGCAGGCTACAGTCAGATCCCTGGAGGTAAGATTTTAATTGCTTCCCAGTAGAGTATGGCATGCTTTTTTAAAAGTGCAATTGACAAGCCTTTGATTTTTAGAGCATAGATGTATGCTCACCAATCTAATGCTGACGCATTTGTAGAGTCCCAAGAGTATATATTCTTTTTGTAAAGAAGAAAACTATTGATTCATAAGCAGTAGCTATGCTGCCATATTTACAAAGGGATTAATTATTCTTTGGGAGAATGAATTAACCCTTGAAGTGCCAGAAAGTAGAATATGCCAAATTTTCAAAATTTGAGCTCTGAGGATTAAAGTCCTCTCAAACCAGAAAAAACAGTTTCTTCCTAGATAGTTATTTCCTTACATGGGATTCAAGATACTAAAATCATAAGTCTTGTTTAAATAAAAATACCATACTTTAATATTTTATGACAGTTTCTTGCCAGAGTAATACAATTCAACTTGGTGCTAATGTATATAAGCCTTTAGTGAAATATTTGCCTGAGTTCATTAGAGAAAGATAAGAGCTGGGAGAGGTAGGCTGGTACTCCTAGAGGTATTCTCTGAAAATTCTTGGTTTCCATTGTTGGAGAGGAAAACCTTTTTCTTTATCCTCCTAGGTTCACAGGTTGGAAGTTGTGAATTAAACTGACAAAAGACAGATTAACAAGAGAAAAAATATTTATTCGTGTTTGTGTACACAGAAAAATGTGGCTACAAGTGGTAGTTAGAATTTGGGGCTTACATACCACCTTAATAGGGAAGGGAGAGGGGGAGAAAGGGTACTTACGGGAACACAAATGACTTTTAGGAAAGATAAATGGGCCTTTAGGAAAATAGATGGGAGATATGACAGTTTTGCGACAATGTGTAGGTGATTTCTTATCCTGGTACTGATTTCTCCCTTGATAGGGGTCAGTCTTCCCTGGCTATGAAACCCCAGGGGAGGGGATATATAATTCTTTTTGGAGGCTCTGCTTTTTGCAGCTAAGAGAAGTTCAGGGAAAAACCTTTTCCTGTGTCTATTGATTATCAAATGCCTTCAGCTCAAAATAATTTTTATGCCACTGTGGCATATTCTGCATCCCTTAACCATCTTGTTTAGGTTTGCTTACTTTTCCTAGTTCTTAGTGTCTATGTAACAGATATACCAGTTTAATTGTTTTGATTTATTTTGAGCAATCCAGAGAGAGAGACAGGGAAAGAAAGGGTGTGTGTGTGTGTGTGTGTGTGTGTGTTAGAATAGTTGTGAAATGATTAGAGTTGTAGGGAAATTAGTGGGCACCTAGCAAAATAATGATTTTTTTTTTTTTTTTTTTTTTAGCTAACAAACTGGGTACAGGGAGCACATTGATATGTTATGAAGCATAGAAGTCACCTTTTTATTTTTGGATGAAACCTCTGATAGTATTTACTGGTTTCCTGAAGTAAAGGTGTATCATTGGACCTTAGACATGAGGCAGTTCAAAATGGTACTATTATGTTGCTACCCTTCCATCCTTAATGTATTTATAGTGACAGAGTAAGTGGGATGATTGCAATTGAATATAGCATATGACCCTCATTGAGGTCATTTAGAGTGATGATTTTCAGGACAAGTTGAATGATTACAAAAGGTGGGAGGTTCATTTGTGACATTTTCAAAATAGCCTGGGGTTAATTTTATCATTTGTCAGATGAAATGAAAAGAAGCATTTCTTTCTTTGATTTTTTTGGCTGTCATTGTGCCCAAAGAGTATCATTTTATATGTGAGGAAAATAGCTTTTTTCTGAATTATTTGTTGAATATATTCTTAATCATATTTAAGATATATAGGAAATGAGATCTTATAAAACTACTTAAATGTCAAACATTTTAATTTTAACTATTTTGAGTAGAAATTTATTTTTAAAAAGCATTTAGTTTTCGCTTTCTAATTAAAGAGTACTATGAGTGTTACCAACCAGAAATTTTCTTGACAATTTACAGACTTAAGAAATCTTTATGATATGTTGGGTTCAAGAGCTATTGAGCTCTTTTTTCATACTTCCAGAGTCTCCAGATTAGTTGAGGATTTTGAATTTTTAAATCTCTTGTTTTTATTTTTTAATCTGCCTTGATTTTCACATTTTTAGTTCTCACTTATTACTACAAATGAACCCTTTCTTCTACTTTCTATTATACTTTTGTATTTCTTTTTTTTTTATAAGCTGCTCATTTATTTGGTTATTTTTTCAAATTTTTTTTTTATATACTTTTGTATTTCTGTTATGCATTGAAACCCTCAAAAATGTTTGCTCGAATTGTGTCAACAATAAGAGTAAATAGGTATCAAGTGAGTGCGTTAGGTACTCTCTTTCATGAGAGAAGTGTATGTGTTTTGTTTTGTTGGTGGGTGTTGATACGTCATTTGTCCAGAGACTGTTGTTGCATATTTCTTGGAGCAAATATCTTTCATTTGAATTCTACCAGTTGCTTTGAGAAAACTCTTGTTGCTTTGTTAATATTGTTGAGGTTTTGAATAATTTGGGGTAGTATGATTATACATATATTTAAAATAGTGCTTATTTTTATATAATTATAAAAACTTTGAATAAGTTTAAAAATATTTTTTTAATACAAGGCTGAAAAACAGTCAGCTAAACTACAGGCTGAACGCTTGGAAAAAGAGCTACAATCAAGCAGTGAACAAAATACTGTTCTAATCAGTAAATTGCATAAAGCTGAGCGGGAAATAAATACGTTGACCAGTAAAGTAAGTCATCTTAATGTTTCTACTTCATTCTTTAGAATGCTTGATACTGCATAATGACAAAGAAATTTTGTATTCAAATTGTTTACTTCTTTATATTGAAATCTTTTTTTATCCTATCATTCTGCCTTCCAAATATATATAGAAACTGACCAGTTTTTACTACCTTTACTGTGACTACTCTTGTCCAAGCCATGATTTCTCTAGGTTCAATTTTTACAGTAGCCTCCTAACTCTCTACCTATTCAGAGCTCTGCATGATCTGGCCTCTGCAGTCTTTCCAGAGCCATCACAGTCCATTTTCCCTCCTGTTCACTTTGCTCCAGCCTTACTGGCCTTCTTCTCACTCTTACTTAACTTCTATCCTAGGGCCTTTGTACTTGCCTGCTGACATGGTCTTCCCTCAGATCCATATAGCTTGCTTTCTCGCCTATTTTTTCAGAGAGGCCTTCCTTGTTTACACATGTAAAATACCATCTTCCCTCTTCCTGCCTCACTGTCTTCTTTACCTGCTTTATTTTTCTTCATAGCTCTTAACAGCATTTGATATATTTATATTTGTTTATTTTTTGTCTCTTCTCTTCTCTCCCACCCCCTTTTCCTTCAACCAAATAGAAGCTTGAAGAACAGGGACATTGCTTTTATTACTCCTTGTACCTCCATCTCCTGCAACAGTGCTGACACACAACAGGCATTCTATAAATACTTGCTAAATGAGTATTTTAATAACAGCAGCATGGTGTGCATTTATGTTATTATTTTATTTTTTAAAGATTATTTATTTTAGAGAGAGAGTGTGTGTGTGAGAAAGAGAGAGAGAGAGAATCTCCAGCAGACTCCCCGCTGAGCATAGAGCCCGACACAGGGCTCGATCCCAGGACCCCCAAGATCATGATCTGAGCTGAAATCCAGAGCTGTCAACTTAACCGACTAAGCCACCCAAGTGCTCCTATGTTATTTTTAAAAGAATATATATAATGGTTTGCACATCTTTTATATACCAAGTTTTCTCAGGAACTTACAGTTTTTCCCCTCACATGCTCTCTATATAAAGAATCTGGTAACCAGAAATAGGAGAGCAATGATAAAAGTATTTTGTAGAAAACTGTAGTGAATAACAGTATCCTCTCTGGAGTCAAGACAGACTAGATTCAAATTCCATTTATTTTCCTTAGTAGCTGTATGACCTTGAGCAACTTACTTTCTCTCTGAAATTTTAGTGTTTTTCTTTATAAGCAGGCTAATATCTACCTTATAGATTATGGCAAAATTAAATGCAATATTATGCATAAAGCACTTTGCATAAGGGTCTAGTAGATAATTACCCAAATATTAGCTATTATTGATGGTAGTACTTGGGGGCATCTTCAAGGTCTTGGAAATAAGTTTGGTTTCTGAATCAGTGAAATCAATTATTTTCCATCAGAGCAGAGTTATGTAAAATTACCTTGAAAAACGAAATGGCTCCCGGACCAGAAGGAACTTACTGTAGCATAGTAGAAATGAACTTATCTAAAGGAGTAATGTAGTCATCATAAATTCCGTGGCCAAGGAATCACTTGAGAGGACTTAGGCAGTGTTCATGACAGAGAGAAGATAGAGTTTTAGTCAGTAGAATGTAAGTATTCTGTCCCATTGGAGAGATAATTCTTACTGTGGGAAGGAATACACCAATCTGTTTTAAATGGTGGGCATGAAACTATCATTTCATTTCATTCCATTTTTCTGATTGTATGATCACCAAACAACTTTCTGTTATTTGACTTCCCATATAATTTTGTCTACAGGGAGAGAATGCACACAGGTCCTTCAGACTTAGAGTGTTCTATTTTCCATTATAGTTTTTTTCTCACAGTTCTGATTTTATAGACCAATCTTTGTAAACTTTATTAATGTGAGTGCAGCCTTGAGAGTGGTGATTTCTGTGTCAGAAAGGCCATAAGCCATAATACTATATGTATTAGGTGCCACCCTTGGGAGATAGTCTACCCAGTTTTTTCCATGGCAAACACATACTCTTTTATGTTTGCAGATTCTGTCTCTAGTGACATTAAAAATTTTTGTTTGAATTTTTATACTTTACAGTTTACAAAGTGGTTTTGTAGCCAGTGTATCATTTAATTCATTAGGCATGGCTGACACTAGAAAGAATAAGTGAAAATTAGGCAGGATTTTTAATTGTTGAAATACTTTTATTCAAATGTCTTTCTAGTCTAGCTTGTAGGTTGAGACTAAGATGTATTTAGAAATTAAAAACTGTCATCTTGGAGGAGGTAATGAAGTACAATAGAAAAGTCCATGGACTTTGAATCAGATAAATCTGTCTTTTGATCCTGACTCATTTATCTCACTCATTACCTGTGTGACTTCTGATTTGCTTAACTTTTAAGTGGGAACAATGCCTATCTCTTACAGGATTTTTCTAAGATCAAAGATGGTATTGAATGCAGTAAATAGTAGCCTATGATGAAAATAATGGCAACAATTTTACACTGGTGTTATCCTTAAATGAGAAAATGATATACATAAAGACACGGGCCTTTGAGCCCATTGACTAGTTCCATTCCTCACTATATCAACAACTGTGTGTAGAACTTTAAGCGAGTTTCCTCATAGATGAAATGAAACATCGTTCTAGCTCATCCCTAGCAACTCATCCAGCCTACTAGGATTGTATAAGTCCTATTGGAAAATAAATTAATAATTTAATTGCTTCCTGATTAACCTAAGTAGATTATTTATACATTCAAATGTATACATATTGAGAGAGATATATTGAGTTCCTACAATGATAGAGTATACAAAGAAATAGAGTATACAAAGAAGTAAATTCAGGAAGTCCTCTCATGCCTTTCTTCCAATTCTGGTATTGCTAAGAGTTACCTAATTTTAAGGGCACACTTGTGTTTTTTGCGTATAAATGGCATATTAAAAACCACCCTTCAGCTTTAGACAAACCAAGTTTTCATTTGGAATCATGCATATAAAAAGATTTCATTGGAAGGATAAATTTTAAAATGATATTTCAAACATGATTGTCACAGTTTTCTTTTCAACTTGGGAAATTTTCATCAATATTTTGCAGCTCTAGCAAATGGTTGTTTGCAATGCAAAGGAGCACCTGGGATGTATTTGTCTAAGTTATTCAAATTTGTAAATGTTTGTCATGTTTTTGAACAGAATTATGTCAGTGTGATTTGCAGTGTCTTGGATTAAAAAGTATTACCAAAGATGGCCTGAAAATGGTGACCTTAAAGGTACTTAACATTCGGGGCGTCAGGGTGGCTCAGTCGTTAAGTGTCTGCCTTCAGCTCAGGTCATGATCCTAAGGTCTTGGGATCGAGCCCCGCTTTGGGCTCCCTGCTCAGTGGGAAGCCTGCTTCTCCCTTTCCCACTCCCCCTGCTTGCGTTCCCTCTCTCGCTGTGTCTCTGTCTGTCAAATAAATAAATAAAATCTTTAAAAAAAAAAAGATACTTAACATTTAATGAGATAAATTCTAGGTACCTCAGGAAGTGTTTGATCTTTAAAACTCCAATAAAATATGCAGTTTAAGGAAATCTTCCCACACAGATATCCTTATTGGCTACATTAATGAGGTCATACCATCTCAGATCTTTGAAAAAGATCAGATTTTAAGTACTGTCTCTTTGGAATTTGTGTCAAGAGCTTCTTGAGTAATACATTTTTTCAACTATATTTACCGTTCTTGCTTACATATATTGTTTTCTTGCATGTCTGTGTATATGTGTATGTGTAATTTAACAGATTCTGAACCCTTGTAAAATACCTAATATTGCTATTTTTTATGTTTCTTAAACTTAGTAGCACTAGATAATACTTTCTGGATACTTGCTTCTGTTATATCAAAAGCATAAAGCAAATTGGCAACATGAAGGCCAAAATGGAAAATGTATTGTGAAAAAAAACAAAAGAGAAACAGAGTACCTTGGCCCATGCAGCATTTTAACATTATACATTTTGTTTAGGAAATGATCTCTAGTACTCCTAGGAATTTTGATGCCTGATCACAAAAAAAGTGAAGAACCAGGGATCTAGAATCAGAAAGAAAAGTTTATTGTGACTAGTTGGGATTTGGTTCAGATTACTTATAGAAAGTGCTGCTGTTTGTCATAGTTTAGTAATAAAATTCCTATAAGTTTTTCATTTTTAATAAATCCTTTTAATATATTTTTAGGAAGTTAGCAATTACTATAAGTGCATTCATTATTTTAGGATTATAGAAATGTGGCACTATAGGAAAACTGAAACTCCTATAGGTCCATAGATGAGTAAATTCAAATGCAGCGAGGACAAACGCTTTGAGCATATACCACTAGTTTAATAATAAAAGTAGGCCTGAAGTCAGACTTTACTTGTTTGACTTCCTGTCTACTGTTCTTTCAGTTTCAATAATTATATTTGAGTTGAAAAAAATATTTTCTCAGGGTGAAATGAATCAAGAAATAGGTTTTTTTATATATTTCGTAGTTCTTGTTGAAATGAATCAAGTTTTTGCAAAATAAGATGGCTATAATTTTCCACCTCATATTTAGAGAAGCTACGGTGTGGTTTGTTAATTAACTGTTATGTCATTCTTAACCTTTTACAGCTAGTATATAATAGCAGGTTATAATTTCATTTGTTATAGAAATTGGATTTTCATTGTAGTTGTATTTCTTCAAAATTTTAAACATTTATAGTGTAAATTCTGCCTGTCCATGAAATTATAATGTAGTAGAGTCCAATCCACAGAAAGTTTAAGTTGTTAAAATAAATACAGTTTCTTAGCTGCTTTCATGTAGTTAAACATTGTTCTGTGAGACTTGCTTTCAGAAATGTTTAAAACTGCAGACCTGGTGTCAGCACAAGGTATTCATTTTATGTAGTGTCATTTATTTATTTTTTTATTTTGGGGGGGGTTCCTTTTTTTAACTTAAATTCAATTAATTAACATATAGTGTATTAGTTTCAGAGGTAGAGTTCAGTGATTCATCAGTTGCATAGAACATCCAGTGCTCATTCCATCACTTGCCCTCCTTCATGCCCATCACCCAGTTACCCCATCCACCCCCACGTGCCTCCCCTCCAGCAACCCTCAGTTTCTTTCCTATAGTAAAGAGTCTCTATGGTTTTTCTCCCTCTCTGATTTCATCTTGTTTTATTCTTCCCAGGTTTGTTTGTTTTTTTTACTAACCAGAATCATGCTGTATGTATTTATTATTCTTTGATGTGCTTGTTGGTGATGTTCTCAGCCTAGCACACTCCTTTTATCCATTCTATATTCCACAGAAATAGTGTCACTGTTTGGGTTGCTTCATTCTGTTGTTAGAATTATGCCCACTTTTGTGCACAAACTTGAGCACAGGGGCTGGAATTTGAGGGGAAGAGTGCCAGTTTGAGCCCTTGGCAGTCTGAGGTGAAGGCATGTTGACTTGGCATTGAGCAGGTGGCAGGCCATGCATGCTGACTTGGCATTGAGCAGGTGGCAGGCTGTGCATGCTGACTTGGGCAGGAGGGCGGCTGGACTGTGGATTTGGGACCCACAGGCCGATGGCATCATGTGTGACAGGGACATGGCTGGTTTTGCTTTTAACTTTTGTTTTTCTGGGACATCCATCTCTCTATTCTAAATGAAAGCCTTGCTGGATAGAGTATTCTTGGCTGTAGATTTTTTTCCTTTTAGCAGTTGGAATTGATCATGCTGCTGCCTTCTGGCCTGCAGAGTTTCTGCTGAAAAACCCACTGATAGCCGTATGGGGTTTCCTTTGTATGTCACTGCTTTCCTTTCTCTTGCTGCTTTTAAAATTCTCTCTTTATCACTACTTTTGGCCATCTTATTTACTTTGTGTCTTGGTGCAGACCTCTTTGGGTTGGTTTTGTTGGGGGCTCTCTGTGCATCCTGGATTCTGGATTTCTTTTTCATTCCCCAGATTCAGGAAGTTTTGAACTATTATTTCTTCAGACAGATCTTCTGCCCCCTTTTCTCACTCTTCTCCTTCTGGGAGCCCTATCATGCAACTGTTATGCTTGACAGTGTTGCTGAGTTCCCTGGGTCTGTTCTCATTTTGCGTATTTTTTTTCCCCTCTCATCTGCTCAGCTTGATTACTTTCCATTACTCTGTCCTCCAGGTGGCTGCTCCGTTCTTCTTCTTCCTCTTGTTTGCTACTTATTCCAGGTGGTTTATTTTTATTTCCATTTATTGAGTCCAGTAGCTCTAATTGGTTCTTTTTTACGTCTCCTATCTCTTGGTGGAGGGTCTCGTGAAGGTTCTGCACTCTTTTCTCAAGTCCGGTGAGTATCTTTATGAGCATTACTTTAAATTCTCTATCAGACATATTACTTTTCTCCATTTCGCTTAGGTCTCCTGCTCTGATTTTGTTCCACTCTTTCCTTTGGGACATATTCCTCTCTCTCCTCATTCTGTCTGTTGCTGTGTCTGTTTTTCTGTGTTAGGAAAGTCAGCTATGTCTCCCGCACTTGAAAGTCGTGGCTTTATGAAGAAGAGGTCCTGCAGTGCAATGTCTCCTTTTCATCAGAAAATGGTGCTTCAGGGGGTGTCTCCTATACGTGTGTTGCTACAAGGGTGTCCTACCATTGTGGCCGGGATGTGTTTGCCTTCAGTCCGGCCTGCGATGGCTCTCTGTCTGTTGTGGGCAGAGTCTGGTGCCTGTGGTGTTAGTGAGCCGGTCTGGGGCTGCCTTGGGCTCGAGTTGTGTCAGACCAGGTGTTGGCTTTTGTTGGTGGGTGGGGCCTGCAGTCAGACCATCTGCCTGACCCCAACGCACTGCTGGGGTCACAGTTGGCCTGGCGTGTGGTTATCTTCCCCTCTCCCTGGGGCAGGACTCACTTTGGAGTGGTGCTGGCCCTTGTCTGGGCCGTGCGCACACTGCCAGGCTTGTGGCACCTCTTTGTTGGGATCTTGCCAAGAGTGATTGGAGGGGGTGGATCTGCTTTGCTATGGCCTTTTGTCTATGCCAGACTGCGGGGAGTCTGTTCTGCCAGTTTTCCGGTTGCTTTCTGGGTTATTTATTGCCAATGTGGGTGCTCTCCAGGTGGCCACACGGCAAGAGGTGAGCCCAGGGTCGTCCTACTCCGCCATCTTCCCAGCAGCCTCTGTAGTGTCATTTAAAAATTCTCTCAGTTTATTTGGAAGCAAAGCATGCATCTTAAATGTGGTTAGCAGTACAAGGGCAGCAGAGTACTTGCTTTTCTGTTGTTCTTTAAGTGAGGATTTTGACCAAACCCTTCCTTATAGTGTTTTTAAGCCCTTTCATAGATGGAACCTCTTTTGGTAAGACACTTCTGTTTCTCATCCTTCTCCTCTTTGGCTCTAGGAGCTCTTTCTCATTTGTTTCTAACTCCCATCTTCAGTTTTTATAGATTTCTGTTGCACTCAAAGATATTATCCTCTGCCCTCCTGTTCCCATCATCTTACATTTTACATATTTGGCTTGTATATATTTGTGGTTTTCTACTCTAATTTCATAGTTTTATGCATCAGTATGTCAGAGTAGAGGTTTGTCTAATTTTTATATCTGTATTGGTTAAATCCTCATTAGAGGATTAACTGTAGGACTAACTTTAGAAGCACCTTACCAAAAGGAAAGGAAATGGAAAATATTAGAGGGTAGTGCAGATAACTGGAGAGATTAAGCTTTTTTGTTTGCTTCCGTAACCCCAGCTCCTTCAACTGTGCTAGGGCACATAATAGGTACTCAGTAAATATTTATCCAATGAATGAATACTACTCATGAACTAGAATCATTCAACTTGTCTCAGAGAAAACTAAAAATTAGTATGTGATTGGTTAATTATATGGAAAATATTGACAATTGTTTCCATTCACTCAGGGCTTTAAAAGAATCAGGTTTGGGCAGTAAAAGTTTAAATTAGATTTATATGTTTTATACTCATTCTTCCCACTGCCACCACATCCATACACACACACACAGACACACACACACACACACACACAGTTCAATTGATTCTTCCTTTTTGCCCACTTGATCAATCCTTTGCTTCTTAATTGGTGTCTTTACCTTCAGTTTCTTAATCTTAATTTGCAATTAGAGTTAATTTTCTGAAACAAAGTTGATTGTGCCCCCTTCAGTAGCTAACAGGATACGCAGCCCTTTTGTATGGCACATAAAGTTTCTTCTCTGCCGGTCTACAGATTTCCTGCCTTCTTCTGTTCTAACACATTGCTCATTGTTTCTTGCAAGCATACTGTGTGATGTTATGCCTTTATAACATTTTATGTGCTGTTTCTTATATCTAGAATGCTTTCTTGTCACCAGCACTTTTTTTTAAAGGAAGGTTTTAGGTTTTTTTCTCTGAAGATGTCGTTGACTATTGGATTTTAGGTACTTGCAGTTAAGCCTTTTAAGGCAAGATTAAGCCAGATGATCCCAGCCAGATATTTGTAAAGAAACAATTCTGTTAGGAAAAGGCTGTTTTCTTGGTACCAAATACTGTTCAAGGCCCTGAAGCACCTTCCCATTGGAAGGTACTTAAACTGTGTACTCTGCTACCAAAACGTTTTCTCATTTCTACTGATGTTTTTGGGTAAGCAGTTAATGGCAAGAAAATGACCTATAGTAATTTCAATTTCTAATTATCAACAGGTAAAAGAACTTAAACATTCAAACAAACTAGAAATAACAGACATCAAACTGGAGGCAGCAAGAGCTAAGAGTGAGCTAGAAAGAGAAAGGAATAAGATTCAGAGTGAACTGGATGGTAATATATGATTTCCCATGCTTTTTACTATTATTTTTACATACAAACAAATTATTAAAATAGATCAAACTGAATTTTTATTTCCAGATTTTCAGCCTAATTGAATTTTAATTTGAGAGCACATATGGATTGTTTTTATTTGTGTTCAATGTTCATTTTGTGATGTGTCTTAAAAAAAATCAATCTTATGTTTATGTCAGTTATTTGATTAATACATAAATTAAGTGAAACTTCACAAATGGGATTTCATACTTTCTGAGTTTATAGTTGTAAATCTATTTAGATCATGTGATTATTAGTCCCAGACCATTTTAAGACTTAAGAATGTAAGGAAGATAGGTGGATCCCCAGCCCAGTTTTTATTTTTATGTAGACAGTAGGCTAGTTATTGGGCCTATTTTTAAGCTCCAGTGTAGTCTTAGAATGTCCTTCTCATCAAGATTCCTTAGAATTATATTATTTCTGATTTTTCTTAAGAGGTGTTTAAGCTACCTTGGCCTGTAACTGTCCTCAAGTTGGTCTTTAGTTGAACTGGCCTCTATAGTTTCAGACAGAGCTTGTGATGAATTACTGTTTTCATCATTAATCTCTACTTGATGTTGGTTCATGAATCTATAAAATTATGATCTAGTTATGCATTCTTTTTAAATTTTGTGTTAGATATGAATTTGTTTTAGTTATTTCATCTGCAAAATACTTGCCATATCAATATAAGGAAAATTTGTGAATTCATTGGATAAACTTGAAAGTTTCCAATTTATATTTCTTTTTTTTTTTTAAGATTTTATTTATTTATTTGAGATAGTGAGAGTGAGAGCATGAGCTGAGAGACAGAGGGAGAGGGAGAAGCAGGCTCCCCACTGAGCAGGGAGCCTGATGCAGGGCTTGCTTGATCCCAGGACTCTGGGATCATGACCTGAGCTGAAGGCTCCCGACTTAACTGACTGAGCCACTCAGGTGCCCCTCCAATTTATATTTCTATTGGAAATATATAACACATCTGCTAGAATGATAGGTTTTGATGGGTTCTATGATTTTATTCACTCTACTTCCAGCCAGCTTTATGATGGTGCTGTCTGTGGGGCTAAGGTTACAAAACCCTTTTAGAAGTTAAGTAAGTATTTATATCTCTTTGGATATCACCTGGGTTGATGTCCCCAGCTTTCAAGAGTCAAGTGAATAAATGTATATAGTCTTTTATTAAAGCATTTGTATATGTATGCTAAATAAAATAATGACAGAATAGTTAATCCTGAGTTTTAGTCAGTTTCATTCTTGAAAGGTTTATCAGTAATGTATAGATCTTTGAAAATACGTATACAGACTTTCTACGCTTTTTTAGTTGTCTTACGAGTTTATGGATGCTTGCTGTTACAATTTTTTCAGCTTAATAACACTGAATACAGCATATCTTTTTCCTTAAAAAAATATTAGGATTACAGTCGGACAATGAAATTCTCAAGTCAGCTGTCGAACACCACAAAGCTCTCTTAGTAGAAAAGGATCGTGAATTAATACGTAAAGTACAAGCTGTCAAGGAAGAAGGTTATCAAAAACTTGTGGTATTACAAGATGAAAAGTAAGTACTTAATTATTTTGTGTTCAGTCTCCTTGCAAATGAAAATATTTTGCTCTCATATCCTCATTGTAGTTGTTGTAACATAATTATCATCTGTTGTTTTAGGATAGAACTTGAGAACAGATTAGCGGATTTAGAGAAAATGAAAGTGGAGCATGATGTCTGGAGGCAATCTGAAAAGGATCAGTGTGAAGAGAAATTGCGGGCTTCACAGATGGCAGAAGAGTCGGCCAGAAGGGAACTTCAGAGTATTAGGTTATATATGCATGTATATATTTTAAACTTCATTTTGAAATAATTTCAGAGGTAACAAAACATTGTAAAATTCCCACATGATCTTCACCGAGATCTTTAAAGATTGACATCTTACATAACCATATTACAATAATCAAAGCTAAGATACTAACATTAATATAATCAGGAAATAAATATTAGTGTTATCAAACCTATAGACTTCATTCAAATTTTACCAACTGTCCTACTGATATCCTTTTTCTGGTCCAAGATCCAGTCCAGAATCATACATTGCCTTTCCTTGAAGAGTGCTGACCAGTTATTTTGTAGCTTGTCCCTCAATTTGAGTTTGTCTGAAATTCTTTATGATTAAATTCAGGTTATATATTTTTAGCAAAAATAATACCAAAGTCAAAGTCATGTGTCCTCAGTGCATTATATTAGGAGATATATTATTTGTCCCCTTACTGGTATGTTCACTTTGATTGTTTGGTTAAGGTGGTGTTGGCCAGATTTTTCCAGTATAAAATGACTTTTTTTCTCTTTGTGATATATAATTATCTTATGGGGAAATACTTTGAGACTATGTAAATTTTCTCATCATACATTCTTCCACTCATCTTAGAACCCAGTGGCCAAATATGAGATAATTTGAGCAAAGAAATAAGTTGTAATAAAAGGTTATAATCCATAGGATAAAATAAAATCTGTGTGTCCAGATGATATAATGTATAATATTTAGAGAGAAGGAAAGCTCTTTTCAGGAGAATTCCAACTAATAAACGTAGAAAGAATGATGGAAATAGGAAAAGATCATTTGGCAAACACTGTAGTAGAAATGATAGGCATGATGTCGAAAATTTTCAAAGGTTTTCAGCATCTCTGGAGACGATCATAATTTTTCCTCTCTTATACTATTAGTATTGTGTGTTAATGGATTTCTTAATCTTGAACCAACCTTAACTTCTGGAATAATTATCTGTTTATTTTATAGAAAACAATCTGTTAAAGCTCTCTGTCTCTATTGGGATAAATTTTGATAATCTGTGTTTTCATATGAAATTATTTCATCTTGGTTTTCAAATTTGTCTGCATAGAGATCTGCAGAATAGTTTTTATTTTTCAATTTGTTCCGTTTCAATGCTTACTTTCCCTGGGCCATTTCTTACTTGTATATGTGCTTTCTTCCTCTCTTTGTTAATCTAATCAGCTAGTGCTTTGTTGATTTTATTCTTTTTATTGTGATAAAATATACATAACAGAATTCACTATTTTAATCATTTTAAGCATACATTTCAGTATTTTTTAAATTAGGAATTTGATTTATGGAGTCAACTGTTTTTCTGTTTCCTACCTCATTAATTTCTACTCTCTTCTTTCTGTGTTTTTCTGCCATTAAAAAGTTTTTATAGTTTTATTAGTGTTTAGCATACATAAAATAAAATTCATCCATTTAAATAATGTGCAGCTTGATGCCTTTTGGTAATTGTATAAAGTTTTGTAATCATCACCACAGTAAAAGCATAGAACAGTTCTATTACCCTAAAAGTTTCCCCATGTCTCTTTGCAGTTGACCTCGCCTCTGATCCCCAGCCTTAGGCACCCCCAGATTTATCCATGTTGTTGCATATATCAGTAGTTCATTCCTTTCTATTGCTGATTAATATTCCATTGAATGGATGTAACATTTGTTTATTCATTTTCCTTTTAATGGACAGATATTTGGGTTGTTATTAGTTTGGGGCTATTATGATTAATGTTGCTATGAACATTCATGTACAAGTCTTTGGGCATACATTTTTATTTCTCTTGGTTAAATGTCTAGGAATGACATTTCTGAGTGATGACATATAGCAATACTGTTTTATAACATATATAGCAAAACTGTTTTACAAAGTAGTATTCCTGTAGCAACGTATGAGAGTTCCCCTATGACAATTCCATATAATTCACACATCTTAAGTGACATTTGTTATTGTCAGTCTTTTTAACTTAACCCTAGCAGATGTGTAGTAATATATCATTGTGGTCTTAATTTGATTTTCCCCAATGGCTAATGATGGTTAGCATCTTGTAATGTGGTTTTTTGAAGTATTCATCCAAATATTTTGCCCATATTTAAAATTGGGACATTATTTTCATATTCATTTGTAACAGGTCTTTATTTTGCAACAAGCCCTTTGTCAGATACATATTTGACAGATATGTTCTAAGTCTCTGGATTGCTTTGTTTATTTTAATTGTGTCTATTGAAAGCAAAATTTATTTTGATGAAGTCCATTTTATCATTTTTTTTCTAGTTTGTTTTGAGTGTGTGTGTGTGTGTGTGTGTGTGTGTTTTAATTAAACTTACTTAAGTGATCTTTATGCCCCACATGGGATTTGAACTCACGACCCTGAGGTCAAGTTGCATGCTCTATGGACTGAGCCCTCCAGCCACCCCTTTTGTGTGTTCTCTTTAAGAAAGCTTTGCCTAATCTTGTGTTACAAAGATTTCTATTTTGTTTTCTTCTAAAAGATTAATATTTTGTTTCTTACACTTAGGTTTTATGATCCAGTTCATGTTAATTTCTGTGTAGTGTGAGGTGATGGTAGACATTCATTTTTTATTTCCATATAGGTATCCTGTTGTTCCAGCATCATTTGTTGAAGACTGTCTTTTCCTCTATTGAATTATTTTGGTTCCTTTGTTGAAAATCAGTTGACCATTTAAGTATGTCTGTTTCTGGACTCCGTCCTATTGCACTGATCTGTTTGTCCGTCTTCATGTGACTATCACACTGTCGTGACCACTGTGGCTTCATAGTAAGTTTGATGCAGGTAGTGCAAGTCCTCTCCACCTTGTTCTTTCTTGTAAAGATTGTTTTGGCTTTTCTAGGTCCTTTGCCTTTCCACATAAATTTTAAAATCAACCTGTCACCTTTTTCAAAAAGGCTTGTTAGGGTTTTGATTGGAATTGCAATGAATCTGAATTGTAGCTCAGTTTGAGAAGAGTTGTCATCTCAACAATATTGAGCCTATCCAATCCATGAATAATGGCATGTCTCTTCATTTAATTAGATCATCTTTAATTTCTATCATCAGAGTTTTATAGTTTTCATTGAGTATGTCATGCATATCTTATGTTAAATTTTATTCCTCAGCATTTTTATGTGATTATAAATGGCAGTGGTTTTTTAAAAATTTCACTTTCTGTTTATTGCTGGCATGTGGAAATATAGTTAGTGGACTTTTAATGTATTGACCTTGAATCCTGTGACCTTATTAAAGTCATGTATTTTCTACTAGCTGCTTTGTAGTTTTTGAGTTTTCTAAGATCATGTTGTATACCTTATGCTTTCTTTTAGTTTACTTTGTTCATTTTTTTTTTGTTGTATTTTGACTTGGGAATTTAACTCAACAAGTGTTCCGTTCTTTCATTTTTATTGGTAAAGTTTCTAGTATGAGATTTTTCTTATCCCTGTTTTAAGTATATTAAGTATATTCTGTAGTGTTTTAATTATCATCTTTTAGGATTGTCTAATTTCAATTTATATTTTCCTTTCACCCAAGAATTAATAGATGTATTAATAGAAGGTGTAGTTGTTTAGTAAGAGATGAAATTAATAGTTTGCTGGGACTGTCATAATAAAGTACCACAGTCAGAACGGTTTAAACAATAGAAATTTATTTTCTAATAGTTCTGGACACTAGAAGTTTGAGATCTCAGGGTGGTGTCAGATTTGGTTTCTCCTGAGGCCTCTTTTGTCGTAGGCTTATAGATGGTTACTTTCTTGCTCTGTCCCCATATGGCCTTTACTCTGTGTGCCTGTGTCTCTAATACCTTTCCCTCTTCTTATGAGGATACCAGTCATACAGATTAGGACTCACCCAGATAGCTTTATTTAACCTTAAGTACCTCTTTAAAGGTCCTGTTTCCAAATGCAGTCCCTTTCTAAAGTACTGTGGTTGAGACTTCAACATACAAATTTTGGGAAGACATAGCTCAATCCATAACAGAAGGTTTTTGAATTTCCAGGTAGGAGGCCTTTTTATTTTTTTATTTTGTTAATTTATAGTTTTAGTGCATTGTAATCAGAAAGTATTGTTTCTATTATTTCTATTTTATGGGATGCACTAATTTTTGTGTGTGTGACCTAATATTATTAAGGCCAGGACTAGGGTTAAGCAAGTGAGACACCCAGGGTAAAAAATTTAAGAGACACTCTTCTATGTCAACACTGAACATGCTCTAAAGTGAGCTTTAAAGGAGCTCTAAAGTGAGTCTTTTTAAATTTTACACTTCGCTTTGCATCTGTAATACATCAGTTTTTGTTACTGCTACGTAAGAACTAGAAAAGAAAGTGTTCAATTGTAGGCGTTAAGTCTCCTATTATTATTATTAGCATGTTTCTGTCTGTGACTCCTTGCATCTCTTGTGGATTTCTTCAAAAAGATGATTGCTGTAATATTTGGCATATAGATGATTATAATAGTTACAATCTTAATTGTGAATTGTGGTTTTTAGCATTTTAAAAGTGCTTTGCTTTTGTCATTTAATGTAATTTGCTTGAATTCCACATTGATACCATTATTCCTGTTTTTTTATTGTTTCCATTTGCCGGGTATGCCTTTGTTCATCCCCTTATTTTTAGTCTTTCTGAATCATTTTGTTTTTTTTTAAATGTGTCTTGTATGTGTAGCATGTAGTTGGGTCTTGCTGTGGAACCCCTTAGTGATCTTTTTATTTTAATGTATGAGTTAAGTTCATTTACATGGAGTGAGCCCATGCTCACTGCAAAGACTTTCTGGCAGGAGCATGAGTAGTAACTTGATGGGATTTAGAATTATTTTCCTCTTTTTACTTATAAATGCTTTGAAGTTTGGGCATTTTTTGCCTTATGGAAAGAATGTGGTTTTGTGTGACTTTATTCTCTTTGCTTTTCTGTAGTATTTTACAGGACATATGGATAGCACAGATTTAGACATCTGTTATCTTCAGGTACCTGGAAATCTGCTTTTTAAGTTTCTAAAATCTTAAA